TCATTCCTGTATAATCCCTGTTGCAGTAGTGTGCCTCAATATTGCAGTATGTTTTACTGTTGGGTGTCAAATGGTATGTTAAATCTGGCTTGCAGGTTAATTTCTCACAGCAATAAACAATATTGACACATATTCCTTGGCTCACTGCAGAATTTGTTTGAATGAAATGGCATATCAGTATGCATAATTATTCTGCCACTGTTCTAAATGTGCAGTACTCAGTCTCTCTAAACCTGTCTGCAGCCCACTTAACTCTGACAAACTCTGCTCCATCACCTCTAATGTGGAGCATCATGGTGCTTCAGTCCTTTTTTTCGCTCGCTCAATAATGTTTCTGTGAGCTGGTTGTGATGTTTGCTTTTGATTCCACCCCCCCACACCGTGCTGGATGTGCTGTTTTGTCGCCTAATCAAAAGTTTTGGCTGGGTTTCGGTGACTATTTCGGCCGAAAATTTTCCAATGGCTTGGACTAACGTGTCTGCTTTTCAGTTCATCCGTAATGGTCACACAGTTTCCTACACGAGTTGAACTAAGGGCCATGTTTTCCCATTAAGTGGTTCCAAAACCAGTTTTTTAGTTGAGGTCTTTTTTCCCCCGATTTAACATCCAGGTGTCCTTAATGTTCAGCTCTCTTGTGTTCATGTTCAGCTGTATAATAAGGTTCAAATCACTAGTGCCACTAGCAGCTTAACTGACCCTCATCATCATATTACGATGGTCATGCTTAGAATTGGGTCGGTCTTCCTTGGTATTAAAGTCTCACCCAAAGTAATAATAACATCCCTGTTATTCTCATCAAATTGTCTATTTTTTCCAATTTCACAGTAAAACTGTTCTCTTCAAGTCATTTGGTTTATTTAATCATCCAATTCATCCATGCTGGTGCTTAACTACCTCCTCCCTTGAGTGCAAAGCTGATATTCCAATAGCTTCTATTTTCTGTTTTAGGATAGCGATTGAATAGTCGTTCATTTGGAATGGGAAAAGCAGACTAATATCAAACATCTGGAACACCCTAAATCCTAACCCTATTTAAAGTGTATAGACTTATCCAGTCTTGTTGCCTTAATGTGCAGCTTGATCCTCAAAGGCCTGCAAGCAAAAGGAAAGTGGCGATATAGAAATTTTTGATTTACTGATGTAGATGTCCTGAAATAAATGATGTAAGATAATGCCTAACAGAAAGGTTATGTAATGTTTTGGGAATTTTGTTTTTTTCTTTGTTTCAGGTGTCTGTGTTGAAAGCTGTAGGTGAGGAGCATGCAGTCGACTTTAAAATTATAACTAAATAGACCACAACAACATTGGAGACCTCAACTTCCTACTGTCCTGTTTGGTTTGAAGCTTCACCAAAGCTACTGGCCTTCACGGCACATCTCCACTGGTGTGTCCCACCCTCTCCCCACCTGCTGTCAGCTCTAATTCTGAAAACTTGGTCAACTTCAGCTGTAATTCAGACTCAGGCCAGCATGGCGTCCTTCCTCAGTGCTCTCAGATGTCAATCCATTGCTGTCCTGGCGCCACTGTATAGCATATACCAGGTATTAGCTGAGGAATTCTTAACCACGCACCGGTAAATCTCAACATTCCTCTTATATGGGAAAGTCCAATTGGGGAGTGTTGTTTTTTACACCAACTATCTGACTTCAGTTCCTGTTGAAGGTGAAACTGCATTTCAGTTGTCGTTTCACTTTACAAATACTCTGCATTAGTCCATTAAGCTGGGTTTTGTGTTTGAACAGAGTCAACCCACCCCGACATTTAAATGCACACAGCTCATGCCTTAGCAGATGCTTATTTATGTAGTCTTTTTTTTTTTCCTGCACTTGCACTGCAGATCTGCAGATAGGTTTTCTGCTGCATGTAGTCCAGTCCCAAGGTCGATGTTTTTTCCATCTGACAACTGTGCTGCCTCAGCAGCCCAACATGCTGGAGCAGAGGAGGCTGGGTGGGGCAGTTTGCTCCTCTATGCTATAAAACTTCCTTTTTCACTTGAGGCCTTTACAAGCTGACAAATATATAGAAATCATTTTAAAGGAACAAATATTGAGGTCATTCATGACTATATGTGTAAATATTAGCAAATCTCACCTTAAGCAAACTGCAGTTATAGAAGAGCAGTTGCAACGAAGAGGAAATGATAGAATTTAAAGATTTGCATGGGGTATCCTACGTTAAGTGATAGTAAAGAATATTAAATTGCTGCTTGGTGGCGGTTGGGTGAGTTGTAGAAAACACTTCGGAGACCTTTGTGCAGAGTTTGCAAATTTTGTATGAAAATATGTTACAATCCCTTTTTCAGTTAAATCACCCACAATGTTACAGTTTAAGAATAAATAGTACTAGGACGTTTCGGTACATTTAGCATTTTGCAAAAACATTTTGTTACATTACAACATTCCTAACAGAAATTAGGGCATATCTTAACTCTGGACAGATAAGACCAGCTTGGTTTTATGCCACTATTGGAAAAAAAAAAATAAGGCCTACAACATGGTGGTAAAACCATTTTGCTTAACTGT